CAAAGTTGGAGGGATCACAATACCAGATTTCAGGTTATACTACAAAGCCACTGTAATCAAAACAGCCTGGTACTGGCACAAGAACAGGTATATAGACCAGTGGAACAGAATAGAGAACCCAGAAATGGACCCAAGGCAATATGCTCAATTAATATTTGACAAAGGTGGCAAGAGCATACAGTGGAGTAAGGACAGCCTCTTTAATAAATGGTGCTGGGAAAATTGGACAGCTACTTACAGAAAAGTGAAACTAGACCATCAACTTACACCCTACACCAGAATAAACTCAAAATGGATAAAAGACTTAAATGTAACTCATGAATCCATAAAAATCCTAGAGGAGACTGTGGGCAACAAAATTTCAGACATCATACGCAGCAGAATTTTTACTGACACATCACCTAAGGCAACAGAAACAAAGGAGAAAATGAACACATGGGACTACATCAAACTCAAAAGCTTCTGCACAGCGAAAGATACAATCATCAAAATGGAAAGGCTACCCACTGTATGGGAGAGCATAATTGTCAATGATATATCAGATAAGGGGTTAATTTCCAATACATATAGAGTGCTCATACAACTCCACAAAAGGAAGACAAAGAATCCAATTTAAAAATGGGCAGAGGAACTAAATAGACACCTCTCCAAACAGGACATACAAATGGCTAAGAAACATATGAGGAAATGCTCATCATCACTAATCACCACAGAGATGCAAATCAAAACAACTATGAGGTATCACCTCATACCTGTCAGAATGGCCGCCATCAACAAATCATCAAACAACAAGTGTTGGCGAGGGTGTGGAGAAAAGGGGACTATAGTGTACTGCTGGTGGGAATGCAGACTGGTGCAGCCACTATGGAAAACAATATGGTGTCACCTCAAAAAATTAAAAATTGATCTTCCATTTGACCCAGTGATCCCATTTCTAGGAATATACCCTAAGAAGCATAAAACACCAATCAGAAAGAATATATGTACCCCCATCTTTGTAACAGCACTATTTACAATCGCTAAGATCTGGAAACAGCCCACATGTCCATCAGTAGACGAATGGATCAAAAAGCTGTGGTACATATACACAGTGGAGTACTACACAGCTGTAAGAAAGAAAGACCTCTTATCCTTTGAGACTACATGGAGGGACCTTGAAAGTATCATACTAAGTGAAACAAGCCAAACAGAGAAAGACAAATTTCATATGATCTCACTTATTTGTGGAATATAATGAACATAACAGTTTGAGGAATGGGGTAGTCCCAGAGACGCAGAAGCGGGGTACAGACTGACAATCCCCTAAAAAGTGGGGAGGTGGGGAAGGGATGAACCACAGAACTTATATGCATGTATGCATGAACAGTGGACATGGACAACAATCTGGGGAAGGGGCAGGAAGGGAGGGGGAGAGGGGAATCAGTGGGGGAAAAAAAGGAGAAACATCTGTAACAAAAATTAATCAATAAAAAAAATAAATAAATAAAAATAAATTAAAAAAAAAAAAAAAGAGATGCCTACACAGAGGGAAGGGTCAGTGAACATTAAGATAGGTCACTAGAAAGTATCCAAATGGGCATGAGAGGACGTGTGAGACAATATCATAGAACTAACTGATGTTAAAAAAAAGGGCGGGGGATCTGAACAAAAGAAATAACTGAAGAGGTAACAGTTGAGAACACTAAGAACCTGAAGAATGAAATCAATAAATAACTCCAACTGCTCAGTAAACTCCAAGCAGAACATGGTGACTCATTACTTTTATTTTTATGTACACAAATAATTGAACATATTGAGACCATTAAGCAGTGCTCCAAAGGGAAAATTTTTCCAATTGCTCTTGCTGTGTAATAATATAGGGAGCTTTACATTTCAGTCTTAAGCTCGAGATGCATCTTACAGATCTGGCGACCAGCAGTGACAGATGGCAATGTTAAAAATAAACAGAACATTCACGTTGTCTAACTGCAGGCAAAGACCATTTAAAAGTGTGAAACAAGCCTGAGGCTGACAAAATTCACATCATCCTTTACAAAATATATCAAGAATACACATTTCCTTATGACAACCCTGCAATGCTGCTCACAGAAGATAAAATATTAGCTTTTGAAGGGGTGCTGTCATTTTATGTCATTACTAATTTAGATTTAAGAATGCCGTACAAGTCTATTAATAGAAACCTATTTAACAGAAATACCAATAACTGATTAACTTTCTCAAGTTTTTTATTTTATTTTTATCCTCACCTGAGGATATTTTCCCATTTTTTGTTCAGATAGAGTGGGAGGGAGAGAGAGGAAGAGAGAGAGAGAGAGAGTAAGACATCGATGTGAAAGAGACACATCGATCGAGTGGCTGCCACCTGCACGACCCAACCAGGGCCGGGGACAAACTGCAACCAAGGTACATGCCCTTAGCAGGAACCGAACCCGGGTCTCTCTGGACTGCAGGCCGATGCTCTAACCATTGAGCCAAACCGGCCAGGGCGGAAAATTTAATAAATGTTGGTAAGATGGTAATACTTACCAAAGTGATAATAAGCACATATAAAGCATGCTTGACATTATCAGCCATCAGGAAAATGCAAATCAAAACCACAAAGATACACCACTTCATACCTTCTAAGATGGCAATAATTTAAAAAAAATAATAACAAAGCTATAAAACAACTGCAACTCTCATACATTGCTGGTGGTATTGTAAAATGGTGTAGCTATTTTGTAAAGCACTCTGGCAATTCCTCAAAGGGTTAAAAAGAGTTACCATATGATCTAGCAATTCTACTCCTAGATACATATTAAGAGATGAAAATATCCACACAAAAATCTGTACATGGCCCTGGCCGGTTTGGCTCAGTGGTTAGAGTGTGGCCCACAGACCAGAGAGTCCCAGGCTCAGCTCCCGCTAAGGGCACGTGCATCGGTTGCAGGGTTGCAGTTTGTCCCTGGCCCCCGTTGGGATCATGTGGGTGGCAACCACTTGATGTGTCTCTCTCACGTCGATGTTTCTCTCTCTCTTCCTTCCTTTCTCCCTCCTGCTCTATCTGAGGATAAATGCAAAAATGTCCTCAGATGAGGATAAAAAATATCTGTACATGGATGTGCATGGCAGCATTATTATTAATAGCCCAAAATGGAAACAACCCAAAATGAATGGATAAACTATGGTTTATCCATACAATAGAATATTATTTAGTCATTTAAAAAAATGAAGCACTGATATACGAATGAATCTTAAAAACATTATGCTAAGTGAAAGAAGCCAAACACAAAAGACCACATATATTATATGATTCCGTTTATGTGAAATGTCTTGAATAGAGAAATCTATAGAGACAGAAAGTAGATTAGTAGATGCCTAGGCTAGAAGGTAGGGGATGGGGCAATGCCTGTTAATGGGTATGGCATTCTTTGTTTAAGTCACTGATGCCACATTAGAGAAGGAAATAAACCCATAGTCATCAGAATCACTAATGAACATTGATTGACCAAGTATCTACTGAGGAAGTCTTTTTAATAGGTTTATCGAACTAAAGGGGATTTAATAGAGGATAGAAATGCTTGAAAAAGACTAAGAATCCAAGTAGAACTGCAGAGAACAGTTCTGAAGTATTTTTCTCTACTAAACAATAGATGTAGTCTGTCTAAAAATTTTAAATTCCTATGAGAAAAATTGGAACACTGATTCCTTAAGCTTCTATGAAGAAATAAGCTTTGAAAGGGGCTACTACCCTTTACCTTTACCCAAATACTATAAGCAAAAGTGGTTTGATATATGCTTCTGGGGTCAAGGTGAGAAAATATTAAATAAGTAAACAATAAACTCCTCTCCCCGTAATTTTTACACATAGAACTTAAATCTAGAAAATACATTAAGGAAAACAGTAGAAATAGGTTCTGAGGCTGAGAAATGTTGTTCTCTTTCTTTTATTGCGGTGAGGGCGCTAGAGGTAGGGCAGGGAAGAGCAGAGGGGATGCAATACAATTGGTAAAAAGTAATCTGATTACTTCTTCTCTCCAAAATCTTGTATTCTTTGTTTTTATCTTCTTTTGAAAAATGTGTATCATATTATAAAGTTCCAGACTAGATACTCTGTAGGATTTGCCAAGATTAAATCACTCCAAAAAAAACAAAAACTTAACATTGCTTTAATTATTTGTAAAATATTCCATATATTGATATAGTGCTATAAGTATACTATATAAATAATACTGTTTAAAATATTTTTGAAATTCACAAGCACCAATAAACTATACATTTCCTTCATCTATTAATTTCAGCTAATTATACTATCTCCATGTCAGTTCTTTATAACTACTTTCTTTTACCATTTTATTCATTAATAAGCTATATTCCTACTACATAATTATAAAAACAAATAATGGCAAAGCTTAATGAGGCAAATAGCTCTTTAAAATTGTCTAAAATTTTGCCCAGCCAGTGTGCTTCATTGATTGAGCGTTGACCCATGCACCAAGAGGTCGGTGGTTCAATTCCTGGTCAGGGCACACGCCCAGGTAGGTTGTGGGCCTATTCCCCAGTGGAGGACATGTAGGAGGCGGCCAATGTTCTCTCTCATCGATGTTTCTATCTCTCTCTCCCTCTCCTTTCTTCTCTCTCTCCCTCTCCCTTCCTCTCCCTAAAATCAATAAAGAAAAATTTTTTTAATAAAATTAAGTTGTCTAAAAGTTTTTTGTGGCATGTGCTTCTAGCGGGAACCGAACCCAGGACTCTCTGATCCGCAGGCCGACACTCAACCGCTGAGCCAAACTGGCCAGTGTTAAATTGTCTAAAATTTTGAATGCATATAAACCTTTGTGAAATGATCAACAGAGAAATAAAAACCTCTTAAAATCAAAGCCACTTAAAATTAAAAATGCATATTATGTCAATAAATACAAAGAATAGCAAAATAAGCTATGTGCTTGACTAGAAGAGAAAATATGTATCTTTAAACGCAGTTGATAAAATAAGCACACTAATGAAAAAAGAGTACTCACCTGGTTTGGGCACCGAGTTGGTCACTGACTGGGGAACTTTCTGATTAATTAACTCAACACAGTGTCCAGGGAACAGCCCCACCTAAGGAAAGCAGCAAAGAGAAGTTTCTAAACCAGAGAAGAGACCAGTGTATGAACAATGCCAGTTCAGTTCTAGTAATGTACTCCATATTCCCTCCCAAATGATTTTATTATTCCAAGACTCTAAGTCACAGGCGATGCCAATTACACAATCCATTACTACAAGTATATAGAGTTATGTGTTTTAATTGTCCAAATACCTAAGTCTGCTTTTTAAGTATTAGCTTTTAATTTTCCTCACTTTTTTACACCAATTAAAATATTTAGTCTGGCCCTGGCCAGTTTGGCTCAGCAGTTAGAGCATCGGCCTGTGGTCCAGAGAGACCCAGGTTCGGTTCCCGCTAAGGGCATGTACCTCGGTTGCAGTTTGTCCCTGGCCCTGATTGGGTTGTGCGGGTGGCAACCACTCGATGTGTCCCTTACATGTCGATGTTTCTCTCTCTCTCTGTCTCTCTCCCTCCCTCCCACTCTATCTGAACAAAAAATGAAAAAATGTCCTCAGGTGAGGATAAAAGAAAAAAAAAATTTAGTCTCATACCAATCTATGCATGTAGTAGGTATAATTTTTACTTCTCAATAATTTACTAAAATTTCAATCTAGTTGTGTTGATACCTCTACTATGAATTTTTATTTTTTTATCCTCACCCGAGGACATTTTTCCATATTTTGTTCAGACAGAGTGGGAGGGAGAGAGAGAGAAACATCGACATGAAAGGGACACATCAAGTGGTTGCCACCCGCATGACCCAACCAGGGCCGGGGACAAACTGCAACCGAGATACATGCCCTTAGCGGGAACCGAACCCGGGACTCTCTGGACCACAGGCTGACACTCTAACCACTGAGCCAAACTGGCCAGAGTTCTACTATGAATTTTTATATGTATTATGTCCTCTATGATTTTTAATAACTTACATTAAGTCACATTCAAATTTTTTATACATTTTCTCTTCATCCACAAGTTCCATGAAAAAATAAGTCAAAACTAAAATAGTTTAAAAAATGCTTATTTAAAATCCTGGTTCATACTGTTGTTAAAGAGCTAAGATGTGTAGATAAGTAAAGCAAGAGAGAGAGAAAAAGAGCCAATCTCAGCAATGGTGAGAGAATCTGGCTTTGAAAAACACACCACTTTGACCTGGTAGAATTAATTACTTATGGCATAGGTCATCGAATCCTAAGAAGGTCAAATCCTAGGAAAATACGGAGCACTAAAATCACCCAGAGATACTGTACAGTGCAGCCATTAGAATGACTAAGAGATAAACAGCCTGGAAACAAAAGTAAAAAGGAAATCTTTACCAATATTTATAGATGTTTCCTTCTATAGGAATATGATCGAGCTGCCATGCAGCAGATGTTAAAACTAAAACATAAAAATTACATCACTTTGTACATCCTTCTGTTGACAGACTCTGGGGAAGAATGCAATGGTCTTCCAAGAGTATGATTCATCCTGAATTTCTGAGCTGTATAATTTCCAACTGTAGGATTATTTTCACATACTCAGTTGCTACATTATCATTTCAATTTCTGGATCGATATTCTATGGTAATTCTTAAAATTATAAACATGTAATCAGTTATCATGAGCTAAAAAGTGATTAACAATTAGCAGTTTTGTTCGAAAGATCTGAATTTGGGATTAAGTATTTCTTTTATTGGTGAAATCCTGTATCATATTTTATCGAACTTCCTATCTAACTAAACAATTTAAGAAATTCTTCCAAGATTAGTTCGAACCAGATACAAATCAATGTGAAAAACTCTTCTGATTCTCTCTTACACAAATCAGTTATTAAGAGAGGGAATGTGGTATAATGGTTAACAGCAGAGCCTCAAGAGTAAGAGTGCCTGGGTTCAACTCTAGGTTTGCCACTTACAGAGCGGGCTTGTCTCTCTGCTTCAGTTTATCCACCTAAGCATAATAGAAGCACTGAGCTCATAAGGGATGTTAAAAGAATGAAATGGATCTGTGTAAGCAAAATACACATAGTGAGCACTCACTAAATGTTATCCATTAATACCCCAGTGTGTTGGACAAGAGAAGACCTAGAGGGCTCCAGCTCCTTCATGAAATGAACATGGCATATAATAATGACCACCTTTTGCATGTGTGTATGTAAGTTTCCTAACTATCAAATATCATTATTTCCATAAAAGTCTAATTCATTTCTATTTACAAACACTTTGACAATTTGCTATAAAGAAAAGACCAGGTTCTAAACTTAGCTCACCCATCTACTCACACTCTGTGATCTGGAGCAAATTTCTTAACCTGCTTCAGTTTCTTAAATTTATAAAAAATGGGGATACTATTAGCTACCTCAATAATTGTGTGAAAGCACCTACCCTAGTTTCTAAATTCAAATATCATTCAACAAATAAAAACTAGTTTTCTATCATTTCTTCAAAAAGGCTGAACAACACTTAATGAACTTCCTTGGGGAACTATATAATATATATTAGTTACATTTTCACCTTTTAAATTTGTGTCAATGCATTATGTTTAAATATATGGGGGAAGATGCTATTGTGTACTATGTAGGGATCTATAATAGGCTTATCTAATGCCTAACTCCAATCCCTGCTCACTTGTGTGCCTTTATTATAAAGTGCAGTATTACCAAATATTAGCTAAACTAAATATTTACTTTCCCAGACTTCTTCCATCCAGATGCAGCCATGGCACATGTAAACACAGCTCTACAACTTTATTCTGTCTCCAGTTTTCTGTTGTGAATGCAGGTATTAGGTATCAAGTTTGGATTTGTAGAAGCCATCATTTGACCTTGAAAGAAAGGCCAAGACCATCTTTGAGGCTTCTGCCTAGCATCATTAAAGCTGCTGACTCAACAATAGCAATCAGTCACCTTTTCTGTTTCTTGAAACCAAAAATACTCCTATTCCTTAAGGGATTTCTCATTTTAAAAAATTGATTCTATAAATTTGTGAAAGACAAATATACTATATTTTTATATTTATAAAATCAACATAGCCCTGTCCAGTTTGGTTCAGCGGTTAGAGTGTCGGCCCACGGACCAGGGAGTCCTGGGTTCAGTTCCCACTAGGGGCCTGCACCTCAGTTGCAGTTCATCCCTGGCCCCAGTTGGGGTCATGTGGGTGGCGGCTAGTGGCTGTCTCTCTCACATTGATGTTTCTCTCTCTCTCTTCTTCCCACTCTCCCTCCCACTCTATCTGAAGATAAATGCAAACAATATCCTCGGGGGAGAATAAAAAAAAAACATCAACATAAAAATAATTTTTAAAAAATAAATACCATAGGGAGTGATGTCAGCATCACAGTAGAGTGAGACAACTTCTACCACCCCTTAAATTTACAAGTTGGACATCTATAATCCAACAAAGGGTCCTCTCCTCAATGCACAAACATGCCTGAGAAATCCGAGCATAAGTACACCGAAGGTGGGCATATTGAGATGTGTAGGAGAGGTAGGATGAGGGGCAGGACCAGAACAGTGTCCACAGACACAGTTTGGTGCCCACTGTGGCAACAGCTAACTCAGTAGCAGTGAAGGAGTTGGGGTGCGGCCACCACACTACGGCCCAGCAGAGGGCAGGAGGAACAGAAGCAGCATCAACGCCCCAGAATCTGGCCCCATTCCCCACCCAGCCCACATTGCGAAGGAACCCGCCAGGAGCAAAGGGCCTGCATCATGGCCCAGGCTCCAGCACAGTGGTGCTAGCAGCCATAAGGAACTAGTGAGGAGCATGGTGGGCTCATCAATTCAGTTCCCCCTTCATCTGATACATCCTCCCCATGGTGGTGGTGCCCCCAGACGAACAACCCCAACACAACTAAAACATCCACCACCCTAGTAACCCATGAGTCAATGTTCATGACCACAGCAATGCCCCCTCCCTCACCATGACCTCAAAGGTGAAGTTAGCACAGGCAGAAGAAAACGAAAATGTGAGCTATAGCATCATCTACTGGAAAACAAACAAGAAGACCTCTATCAAAGTACTGAACTGATAAGATCAAAACAGCATCTAAATAAGAAATGAGTGCACTACCTCAAGTATGCAGGCAGAGGAACAATCCAGCAAGTGCCACGAGCAACCGAGGTAACACAGAAAATGACAAGTCTCCGGAAACCAAACTCAAAGGCAGGGAAGACTGTGATTTAAATGACAGAGTATTCGAGTTTGCAGTGATGAAGGGACTCGACAGGACCCAAGAAAACTCAGAAAGACAGTTCAGTGAGCTCAGGAATAAAGTTAATGAACAGAAAGAGTATTTTACCAGAGATTGAAACTCTTAAAAAAAACTACAGAAATTCTGGAACTGAAGAACTTGATAAATTATGATGAAGAATACATTAGGAAGAAATGGAAACAGAGAAGACTAAATAAAAAAGGGAACTACCGCCCTGGCCGATTTGGCTCAGCGGTTGGAGTGTCGACCTGCGGTACAGAGAGACCCGGGTTCGATTTCCGCTAAGGGCATGTACCTCGGTTGCAGTTTGTCCCTGGCCCTGGTTGGTCGTGCGGGTGGCAGCCACTCGATGTGTCCCTTCACATCAATGTTTCTCTCTCTCTCTCCCGCTCTATCTGAACAAAAAATGGAAAAATGTCCTCGGGTGAGGATAAAAAAAAAAAAAAAAAAGGAACTACCAAGCTCGAAGATAAAAACCTAAAACTGATTTGAGTAAAAGAAGAGGAAGAACTAAGATTTTTTAAAATGAAAGAACGTTACAAAAACTACCTGATTCCATTAGAAAGAGCAATATGAGAATAATGGGTACCCCAGAAGGACAAAAGAGGAAGAAGGGAACCGACAGCCTTGTCAAAAAGTTATTGATGAGAACTTCCCAAACCTAGGGAAGCGACTGAACATCCAAGTAAAAGAAGCTAACAGGATACCCAATTATCTCAGCACAAAAGGACCTTTTCCAAGACACATTATATTAAGACTGTCAAGTTAATGATAAAAACAGGATTCTCAAGGCAGACAGGGGAAAAAAACAGTAATCCACA